GCAAATCTGTGTGAGCGAGGAGGAAGTGCTCAAACGTGCTGATGAGGGGCCAAAGAACAAGTTAGCTGGACATTCTGCAGCTTCCTGCTTCTAAAAGCCTTTGCCTTTGACTGGCAGCAATACCATGAGGGCCACAGACAGAGCCATTAAAAGCTCCTCGTTCTGGGGCAGAAGACTGCTCTTCTACACGAACTGCAGAGAGGGAGAGGGTTGGGGAAGGGGGGCAGGAGCCACAGAGCAGGTTGGGGGAGAGAATGGGCAAGCAGGGCTGACAGCCGCGGAGAAACTGAAATGAAAAACAGAGGCGACAGGGACACACTGCGGCACGGTGACACATAAATTATTGACTTTACAGGAAGCCGAGTGTTGACAGCATTTCAGAGCAGAAGGCTGAGTCAGCAACCCTCACCCACCACCCCACCCTCCCCTTCGCCCAACAGCTGGCTACAGTAGATCGATCAGGATTAAAGAGGTGGCAATTAACTCTGCTGCCGCCATGGGGAGAGGGGATTTTTCCACGCGTCTGAGATGCGACGTCCCATTGACACCACCAAAACACAGGCTCTGCCCAAGGCACTTTATCTTCTGAAGTGTGATGCTGACTGCAAGATCATTAATGTCCTCCTTCTCATTTCTGTTTTGCAGCCAACATGCTGCCCCTCTAGGTAAGAGCACCGGTGCTCCTGTGCATGTCTGACATGTTCATCACAGTGGCACAATCAGACAGGAGCATTAGCCAGAACAGAATCACAGCAGACTTTTTCCAAATACAGATGATTCTCACACTTCACCAAGCAGGAATGGCTGCATTTCTGCATGATAAGTTAAACCAGATGTGTTGTTATCGATCTGGTATTTATCAAATTATCTATCATATAATCAAGAGCAATCTCTTCCCCCCTCATGCAGGGAAACGAGTCACAGCTCTGTCAATAGCATCATCCGCCGCGTCTGCAACACGCAGTACTCTTAATCAGCCGCGCGATTGGCGGTACAAATGAGTATTTAAGCACCGTTCCCTTTGCTGACACACACAGACGCAATCTGACGTTTCTGTGCCACTGCAGTTTTGACTGGGAAAAAAAAACAGTATAATTTAGGAGCAGTTATATCAGCTGTCAAACTGTAGTCAAAACCTACAGAATGCTGAGAGAGAACAACAAAGAAAGGCTTCAGTCATAGAGTATGACTTTTATCATGGCCTGTTATACATCTCAGCTGAGGCCAACAAAGAGCAGGAGGTACTATTTCACAGAAAAGAACATTAAAATTTTAGAAAGAATATGCACACCCCTTCTTTCCTCATCGTGCAAAAGCCTTCTACAATGAAATGTGCTCTGCTGCCCCACCATCAGCTCATACTGAATGAAGCTCTCAGAAGAGTCATCAATAACGGACTTTAAAGAAATATTAACGGAGGTGAGGAATGGTGAAGACACAGCTCCAATCGATCAAGCTCAGGCAGCATGCTTATAAATCTAATGACAATCAGTGCCTCGCTGAAGGCTGCAGGGCAAACCAGCCCTCTGTCCTTAAACCAAAATTGTGTGGAGATCTAAAAAGGGACACGCCGATATCATATTATTTGCATTTTGTTTATTCTCAATACAGAAATTCTGTTTCCATCTAGAACATTCATTTTAAGCCAAACATTTATTATAACAATTACTGTGCTTTTCAGAAGACTCCTTAATACTGATCAAATGATATGGGGAAGCATAGAGTATGGATGTGGCACAGGCTCCATCGCACGGCCAGATCACAGGGTAGCACTGATTAGTTACCTCGCTGGCAGCTTTGGGCTGTGTTTTCGGGGGCCAAATTTTGCTGGAAGAGTCTGCTGGTGAGACAAACAGAACCAGCAGGGTGGACGAAGCTGCAGAGGTAGAAAACACTCTTGGATTTTGCCAGTACATGCATTAGGATTGCTGGTATCCAGAGAAAACTGTAAAGTCTCTGAAGCACGCCACCAGCGCGTGCTCTGGCAGGAGATATTGGATTTATCCAGACTCCTATCACTCTGCTACATTTCCAATTAAAAGGAAGCTGTCCCACCTCATCAGTTGTTGAAAGCCCTATAAGGCCACATGTCTTTTTCACAGCAACAATCTGTATCTACGTTCTCTTTACTGTAACCCTTTCCTGCCATTACCTCTTCATCAAAACCCACCTCAAAATCCTTTATCATCTCATTTTCCCACAACACTGTGTTAAGTTATTATTGTCATACTTCTCTCGGTCAGAAACAGGCTCTGAAGCAACAAAAAGAGTTGCATGAAAAACTCTGCAGAAACAGTGCGCTGGAAGTGCAGCAATTCTGAAGCTGTACATTGTGGGTTGCAGGAAATATGGAGTCTGATACAATTTAAAGAGCAAACCGTAGATGGAAATTGTGGAAATCCTGCAAAATTATTTTGTTTGGAGCCTCTTATTGTCAATTTGGAAATAATAATAATAAATCATTACACTTTTGTGGGCACTCTACTCAAAGTGCCATATGGGTAATGGGGACTCCCCTCTACCATCACCAAGGTGTAGCCCCCACCTGGATAATGCGATGGCAGCCATAGATGGGGGTTATAAGGAGCCCTTGATTGATAAAGGCCAAGGGGAATTTGGCCAGGATGCCAGGGTAACAGCCCTACTCTTTTCAAGAAACTCTTTTCATGAGGGGTAAATGTTCAAATTGGGGTAATTAATGGAGTACCACAGGGCTCTATACTAGGCTCAATGCTAGTTTATATTAACGATCTAGATTCTGGTATAGTTAGAAAACTAGTCAAGTTTGCAGATGGTACCAAAATAGGATGATTAGCAAACGTTGAAGAAGAAGCAAATTTAGATAAATTCAAGGCTGGACAAATGACTGGCAGATGATGTTTAATGCAGGGTTTTGTACACTGGCAGTAATAACAAACTATAAATATATATTCGGAAACACTGGGTTAGAAGAGGCTACTTATGAAAAAGACCTGGGATGTTCATGTTGAAACATTGTTTTCCAGACAATGTGGGAAAGCAATAAAAAGGCAAATAAAATGTTAGATGATATAATCAGAAGTGTAAAATTCAAATTGAGGGATGTTGTGTTAAAAATGTACAATGCACTAGTTCCGCCTCATTTATGATATTGTATACAATTTTGCTTCGGAATCAGGTCAGAAAGGAGCAAAGAGATACATTCCAGGGCTCAAGGGATTGTCTAACACTGACAGACTGCAGGAACTGTGTTTCCATCTTAAACAATGAAAATTATGAAGGGATCTGATACAGATTTTCAAAATCCAAAAAAAGGCTTTGAGGAAAAAGCCAACCCAGGTGACTTCAGAAAGTACAGTGAAACAGGAATCGGGAGGACCAAGTGGAATCGATGTGGAAGAGCACTTAAAGCTGAGAACAGGAGGCATTTATTTACCCAAAGGGTTGTGTATCTGGGGATATGCAGTAGAAGCTGTGTGGTACTTAAGCTTCCTTCAGGAAATGGCTGGATGATGTCCTTGGATTAATAAAATACTAAATACCAAACAGGGCAGCTGAGGCTGATGTCCATTTCTAACCTTTCTTGTGTTCTCACCCTATAGTCCAGTCGCACCCGGTAGAGTCTGTGCTACAGGTACGGCATTACTGGAGTGTGACTGAGATTCCTCACTGTTGGCCAGGCACCAGGAGGGTGTTTGAGCTGGCTGGAGTATCATAAGGTTACTTTAGAACAGTGACCAATTTACCAGTGGGATGTGTTGGGCTCTGCTATAGATGCAGTGCTGTTAGTGAGAGAGGTTACCACCCTATTGGCCACTGGGGAGCTCATATTTTAATATAGTTGACACACACATGAACACACATACACACACATGGTCCCAAATTAGGATGACTAGCAAAGTCTCCGACTCTCCATTTCTTCTTCTTCTCAAAGCCTCTCGCCACCACCACTCGAACCTGCGGCCTTCATGCCACGTGTCCTATTGTTCTCTTTTTTTCCCAGCCTAAGAACAATTTCCAGCACTGATGTTAAAAAAAAATCTATACATTTTAAGAAACACTGAAGCCTGTTGCCAAACAGTGAAATACTGTATGATTGAACACACAAAGCAGATGTCACATGCTGAACCCACCTTTAAAGACCAGGTCAATAGGGGTGATTTATAATCAGTACCCTGCAGTGAGATTATTTACAGAAATATCTGTAAAGTAGCCTTGGGGAAGCAATTGTACCAAAGGAAAGAATTAATAAGACTTTGATGGATGTCAAGGACTCTGGTTTCCGAACGTCTGAAGTCTAAAGGCTGTATTTCCTTTCACAGAATCATCTTACAGGTAACACCACAGCCAGTGGTACACAGTTCAATCATCCACAGTGAGGTTCTTATTTGCAAAATAACACAGAAGAATCCCAGATTGTAATAATGTTTGTAAACACAGCCAATGGAATATCTCTTATCAAATACAGTGGCAGTAAGAAAAGTAAAGCAGTTAATTTTTCAATTAACATAACAATACCTTTTTGAACAACTCTTGGAATCTGCACAGCTAAATGTTTAATTTATGAGGAAGTATTTTGTCATGGGACAGTGCCCAAATAATATAACACATCTACTGCCACATGGGAATGACTAAGTAGTGCTTTTAGTTCTTAATTCTTCTGACTCCTGATTGCCAAACCACATATAGTTCTCTACAGGAATTTACAGTTGAACATTATAGCATACAGTGCATAACAAAACCCAAACGCATCTTCTTCATTTTTAAGAATGGATGACCATTCTAGGCAGTCTTATGAATATGATAGACTATGGAGTATTAATATGATACAATAACGTTAGTAGCCAAGACAGGAAAAAACAACACGTACAAACACGCAAAAATGGGATAGGCAAAAACGAAAATGTATTCACTTTATAAGAATCACAAATGCGGACACAAAACTCTGCTAGTCTCCTTCCCTGCACAGCAGACCTTGCAGGTGTGACAGATACACAGGATTGAGATATGCAGATATTTACTTTTTCATCATAGTGCCAGATTCCCCGGCCATCTTGCAGCTCAGACCCAGACACACTAGAGTCCTGATCGATAAGCCAACGCTGGACAGCCTGAGCCTAAAAAACACATGACATGAAACATGGCTTTAATGAGAAGAGCTGGAGAAATGAGCCTCGACATTGTTATCGCCCCCTGCAATGCCCCCATGTGGCTGGTCTTACCGATTTGACAGACAAGAGTCACTCAGTTCCACAGCGAGGTAGCAGTGTGGCACAGTGTTCAGGGTTCTGGACCCATAACTGAGATTTTGTAACTAATAATAATAATTGCTTACACTTATATAGCTCTTTTCTGGACACTCCACTCGAAGCACTTTACAGGTAATGGGGACTCCCCTCCACCACCACCAATATGCAGCCCCAACTGGATGACGTGATGACAGCCAGAGTGCGCCAGTACGCTCACCACACATCAGCTATCAGTGGGGAGGAGAGCAGAGTAATGCAGCCAGTTCACAGAGGGGATTAAGAGGCCATGATTGGTAAAGGCCAGGGGTAAATTTGGCCAGGATTCTGGGGTTACACCCCTACTCTTTTCGAGAAACATCCTGGGATTTTATATGACCACACAGAGTCAGGACTTCAGTTTTACATCCATAGGATGGCACCTTTTTACAGTATAGTGTCCCCGTCACTACACGGGGGCACTAGGACCCACACAGAGGGGTGAGCGGCCCCTACTGGCCCCAGTAATACCACTTCCAGCAGCAACCTTAGTTTTTCCCAGAAGGTCTCCCATCCAGGTACTGGTCAGGCTCATACCTGCTGAGCTTCAGTGCCAGTTGTGAGTTGCAGGGTGATATGGCGAAAAATAATAACACTAAGTTAATATTATTTATTAATAAGTTAATAAATAATATTAACTTAGTTAATAAAAGGCACTATTCAGAAACACATGTCTGAACCCATGTACAGTAAATGCACTCTAAAAAATGCTTGTTGTACAGTATGCATGTGTTTTTCACATCCATCATGCAATTAACTTGACAAGCTGTAGTCTTTCTGAAAGTAAACCAGCTCTTCAAACTTTTAAACTTCCCTTTTTGATTTGGAAACTTCACATTTATCACTTATGTGCTCCTAATCATTGTCAGAATGGAAATGGGCATTCTCAGATGTACAATATGTGATTTATAAGTAGAGAATTCTCCCTAAAACAAGGACTTAAAACATCCACATTAAACTATCAATCTCACCGACAATCAGTAAAACTTTAAACAGGGTTTTAAAGGCTCTTCAGCCAGAATCTTTCATCACTAGTATTGCATATACTGTATAAGGACATACAGCATATACTGTATAAGGATGTGATGCTTTCATAAATAAAGTGTGCAAATAATTTAAACTTCAATGGGTATCCTTTTTTTTCAAAACTGGTCTATGTACAGTAGTATAGACATTTCATTTGATAGGGCATTGAAAAGCATTATACTCGGCTTAAAAAAAGAACGGTAACAAATGGTAAACCTGTAAGACCAACTGCATGTGGGTCATTAATTGATAGATTTCCATTAGCTATTATCCTTTCAAAGTGATCCTATACTGTATATAAAGACACTATGACTCACGGCTTCTTAAAAATAAGGAGAATCATACAGATTTCAAGCATTATGGATACTGAAATAAAAATAAACACAATTAACTCATACCATAGTTTATCATAATTCCCTTTATGTTATTATTTCCCATATGTTCAGGCCGATATCTACTGTATATCTGTGGACACTCAGGCTTAAAGGAAGAAAATCCCTTAATTCCCCCAACTGCAAGAGCTTCTTAATCATGAGACTTACGAGGAAATATTTATCAATTGAACGAGGACCAGAAGAAAAGAAAAACACAAATATTTCATTAAAATCTGCTGATCAGAGACAGTGAAGCCCCCCTAGCTTTGTAGCGGTGTGCTGTAGAACACTTCGGACTGACATTTATTCCCAGAGGATCAGAGATCAGGCAGGTAGACTGGGGCACACACAGACAAAGCACAGATATGAGGGAATTCACCACCAACTGGTACTCAGAGCAAGGACAGAGAGGGAAAAACCAATGCTGACTCCATTCTCTTTCCCGAAACTCTGCTTTCAAGCCAGAACAAATCAAATCCGTGGTCTTTCAGAAAGGATCCGTGTGTGTGCAGGAAAAAAAAAATCATTTTCACCCAGCAGCGGTGAACCGATTCGGATTATTAATGTAATTGGATTACAGCGCTGCTGGCACCAGTGGGGGTTTTGATAAACAGCACTGGTCATTAACTTTTAAATCATGGAGAGAGCACGGCTTCTACTGCATGGAATAACCAAGACCTCTTGGAAATGGGATTTTTTTTCTAGGTCTCTCTTAAGGAAACTGAGGCAGTCTTGTTTTCCACCAAAAAAGTAGCTTGATAGTAAAAGGACCCTTTGCTATTGCAATTGGAAAAAACTATCTTTTCTGATACTCTTCCAATTTTAAATTGGCAAGCGGTAATGAACTTGGTATAAAGCTACATTCCTTGTACCTTGCTGGGATAATGCAGACTATGGACACACTCCTCCAACATGGCGACTTGGGAGATGGATTTGTTATTTTGGCACACTGCGAGCTCCATACTACCTGAGAACAGAGTGCTGATGGGAGGAGTGGTCCATCTCTCACCAAGCTACATATAAACTTGAAGGATCTGTCTGTAAGCAGTGTAATCAAATTGCAAGTCTGATCTGAGAAGTACATGCTTCTTATGAATCTGCTACAGCATACAGTGTGTCTGGTGCTGCTTCTTTAACCACAACAAGATCTCTTTGGATGTCAATTATAGAGACTGGACACAACTGTTCACATCCTTGTTGGAGAAAAAAGTGAGAGCAGGTGTGTGTTTAGGGTAGTCTTGAAGGAAAAGACACTTGTCTGCTCTCTCACCTAAGCCTTGGTTTGTGGTGACTGGCAGGAATCTTTCTCTCCCCGTCTGTCTGCCGCCAGTACTAAGCCAGTGTTCTCCTCCTTTACTAGGGAGCACTACTGCAATGCTCACAGTAATTAAGCAAAAAGAGGATCCTGCCTCCTTTGCCTCCTGCTCTTCCAAGTCTTAGTCCAAAGCAGCTGTTTGCACCAGCTGCTGGCATTCTGCCCAGATGTTTGGGTCCAGATTGGGAGGTGGTGGGAGGGGAGGGGTGTTAATGCTATTTTAATTACTGCTTACAGTGCAAGCAGCCCAGTCCTATGGACTATGGCCAGTTGGAGATGTATAGATACCCCCCTGATACACACCCCCGGTCCCCTATTAATCTGCAGTTAATCGATCAAGATATTGATTCCTCATGGCAGATCAATGGTGCTGGGCGTAAGGGCAAGGATAACTCTGTGTGTGTGTAACACTACTAATGAGGCAAGCTGACTGCTCAGAGGTGAAAAAGGCTTGGTGGCAAGAGAGATTCGTCTCTTTAAAAAGATCCAGGCATTTTAAAACAAACACGCTGAACGTCCTGGACTAAAGCCTCCTGTGGCCAATCAGCCAGAAGCTTCTGCTGACACAGGGCACATGGCCACTCGCCTACATCCATCAAAACTGCTGTCAGAAGCACAGCAGGCGAGTGTGGGCTAACTCAACAACACTTCTCATAATGCCACATTATTATCAGTCTCCACAGAGTCGGTGCATGCTAACCCATGAGAGCAGAGCAATTCTCATTAATACTGATCAATAATTTTACATCAGCTACACAAATGCTTTTAAAGAAATCTACTGTACATGAAGAATCATTGAGTTTCCACATACTGTAAAACACTGCATATAGTATGCTATACTGTACATATGGTGCACAGATATAAATACTGTACTCGATACGTACAAAGTGGCTTGAGGTCTTCATTATTAATTTTTCATTTCACAATAAAACAGCCAGATGTTGACAAATGTGTTCTACAGCTTAGGTGATGAAAACAAAGACAGACTGGTAGATGGTCACCCAGTGTGGTGCTCATGGAATGGCTGGGCTCAGGCACTCTGTCCTTACAACTACGAAACTGTCCTGGCTGAATCACACATTACGAATTACACACCAAAAAAAAGAATCCAACATTTACAGGAAGGCTTTTTAAAGGGTAGAATAAGTAGAGAACGGAGAGCTGTTAGCATGAAGACGTGCACAGTGGAACATCTGAGGTTTCCTGCAGTTACATGACCAAGCTCGGGCAAGCAGAATTTACGCTGAGTTACCAGTCCTCTTCACATTTCCAGTCACATGACAAAGCTTGGGCAAGCACAGTCACCTCTGAGTCACTAGTCCTCTTCGCCTTACCATTCACATGACAAAGCTTGGGCAAGAGGAATTAGTGCTAATCTTATTGAACATTTTCAAAATATCTAATGTAAAAAGGAAAAGAAAATTCAAATGACTACTGTCAGTGTCTCACGTTTTTCCAAATTGACTTTTATTATTACTGAAAGCTCTCCTAAAGACTTGTTCTTTTTTCATTTTATGTGCTCAATATCTTTGCTGTATTTGTCAGCATAAAATACAATTTGGAACGTACAGTATGCTAATACCTCCTTATGTATGGGAAACGCGAGAAATGACAATGCTGTGCTTCGAAGGGATTCAGAAAAGCATGAGTCCGGAACAGATTGCACAGATGAAGCCGAAAGAAACAATAGTTAAACACTTAAAACAGTTTGTTCAAAAACCTGTCTATGCACATCACACTGACAAGATTCCGATATCTCTTTCCTGCAGTTGGCTTATATACTGACATCTGGAGGATACTGCAAGCTTGGAAACCTGGAAAAGGACTCAACCGCTATACACTGGACTCATTTAATGATTTTCCTGTGTTTATTATTATGCGTCCATAATGAAGTATGAAGTGATTCACAAATTAATTGATACGCATAATTGAATCTACGGGACTGGATTTAAAGCAAAAGTCCATTTTCCAGACTGCGCACATATATCTTAGACTTCTTCTGTGATGTCCTCCACTGCCTGGTTCCTCTGCCTGGCTTCAATTAAAGACAGATTAAAGGACTGCCGAGGAAGAGTCTGACTGCTGTTCTAATGTGGAGAGGCGGGGCAAAGGGGGAT